AGAAGGGCCGATGTTTGACAACGCTGTTGGATATCAGATGCCCTGGAGGGGACCCAGCACGTATTTTGCCGCGAGCCTGCCTCGACCTCTGGCTTCGCCAGTGGCAACCGCTGCCGACAATCAGGCCAGGCATATCTCGGGCTTGGCCCAAGTTATTGGAACGTTTGCGAAGCACCCCTGAGAATCAGAGATCTCGGTGTGTTCGGGGTCCCACTGGTGCCGTTATTTTGTATTTACTCCAAGCAGGTTGGGACCCCGCGGAGCCCTCGCATTGGAACGCTCCAGGGGATTGTGATGATTTAGCTGCTTGGCGTTTCCCATCTTCAGATTTGGCTGGAAACCTGATCGAGGATAATCCTGATCCCCTCTTGGACGATTTCGACCAGACCATCCAGAATCAGCTTTGGAGGAACGCTTCCCAGCACTATTGTGGAGAAGGTATGCAGTGGGGGATCGATAATTATTCATTACGTCGTCTGTTGAAGCAGCTGCTTTTCGCTCCACATGGGAACCGTTTAAGTGAGTTGCTAGTATCAGTGGCCACAGGCGGAGCCTGGCCACGAGTACGCCGACATGAGCAGCTGAAGGGAAACCAAGATGTTTTATGCCCCAGGTGTTCCGAGGAGCCCGAGACCCCTTTTCCACAGGTTCTGGGGATGTGCTGAGAACAGGGGCTGTAAGGCATATACAGATTCTGATTCGCTCACGCCGGCAGCGTACGCAGGTGCAGAGTCTGAAGCATGCTTTTGGCTACGAGGCCTCATCCCAGCAGCGTGGACTGCAGTGCCGCAGCCTCCGTCTCAGGAGAACTGGCACATCCGAGGCAGCTCGTCGAACGATCTTGAGGGATGTCTTGGTGAAGGGTCCTTTCACGAACCCATCGTTGTGTTTGGCGATGCAAGTGGAGGGAGAAACGCTGCTGACCAACGTTTTATTCGTGTCGGGCTCGGAATTGTTGCATTTGATTCGTTCGAACCCTGCCGCATTCGTTCGTCGGTCAGTGGGCCCTTGGTCGGGAAATCTCAGTCGGTGCCCCGAGGCGAACTCAGAGCACTTTTGTTGGCAGTGGAATGCACGCGAGGCTTCGTTTGTTATGTGACTGACAACGATGCTGTTGCCCAAGGCTTTCATTCTGGTTTGTACAAGAGGCCCTCTGGGCCCAACGCTGACCTTTGGTTGACCCTGGGGAAAAAGTTGCAAGCCCGTCCAACTCAGTTGAGTGTTCTTTTCGTCAACTCACATCTGACTGCAGATGATATCGTTGCGCGCGAGGTTCCATCCTGGCTCGCCCAGGGCAATCTTGCAGCCGACGAGGCCGCCAGTGCGGCGGCCCACTGTGCCCGCGTCCCCGACGAGGCGAGGACGAGGGCCTACCAGGCCGAGGCAACGGCCGCCCTGGTGCGGCACCGCCTCGTGCGCGCCACGGCGGACGCGCTGGAGGCCGAGGAGCGGGGTGGGAACGGCGCCGTGAGGAGTAAGGACCCACCTCCTCCTCCCCCCCCCGCCCCTTCCCTCGTTTCTTCCTTTTGCTCCGCCCATTCTCTCAGTGATGATCGTAAGAGTTGTTTGCGATGCTGTGGCTCAGCATCCCTGGCCACCCAGAAAGAGTGGTGGCAGTCCGTTTGTTTCCAGCCCGTCACGCTCGACAGTAAATATGCTGCTGTTCCTCGGGGGGGCGGCTCCACATTGCTGGGGGTTGGATCGATTCGACTCATGCGATGCGATTACAGCTTGCACACAAAGTCTGGTTCTGTCGTGGTTGTGGTCGATACGGCAGCCAACATAATCGTGCTCTTAGTAAGCCGTGTGACTTTCAGATCCCTGCTCACCGACGAGAGTACCTCGATCGAATAGAGCAGGGGAAGTGGCCAAAGCTTCTTAGCAAAGCTGAGCAGCGAAGCCGACTTTAGTTTGTAAACTCGACTACGTCGAATAGCTCGATACTCGATACTCGATACTCGATACTCCTCCCTCCTCCCTCCTCCCTCCTTCCTCCTCCCTCCCGCCCCCTCCCCCTCCCCCTCCCCCCCTCCTCCTCCTCCCCTCCTCATCTCCTCTCCTCCTTCCTCCTCCTCCTCCTTCCTCCTCCCTCCTCCTCCTCGGGGCCCCACGGCCCCAGGGAAACCGCGCAGTGGCAGTGCGCATGTCGGCCACGCGCAGATGGAGTCTGGGGGGGGGGGGGGGAAGGCTTCTCAGAAGCACACGAGCCTCCAGGCTACGTCGTAGGCCTCCGCCGCGGTGCACTCGCGGGGCATCTGGGCCACGATGGCCGGGTGCTGCCAGGAGGTGCCCCTGGCCCATTCTGTTTTGGCGGCGCGCAGAGGGGGGTAGTGGGGGGGGAAGGCTTCCAAGAAGCACCCTTGCTTCTTGGAAGGCGCGGGCCTGTCTGTAGAGGTTAGGGAGGCCGCCTTCTAAGGGGGCCTTTCTCTGAGAGGCCTTTTCCCCCCCCCCCCCCCCCCCCCTACCCCCCAGTGCGCGCCGCCAAACATGGGGGTCAGCCAGAGCGCGAGATCTCCCAGAGATGGATCAGGCGGTTTGGGGCCATTTTCGGCTTCTGGGGGCCTTGTCAGAAAACGACTCTGGACGAAAACCAGGCCCTGTAGGGAAGTGGTCCGGACCTCCACGACCCACCGCATCGAAAAACATTTGAGCAGCCGGATGTCTGTGTTTGCAGGATTCTGCAGAGGCAGGGCTGCACTGACCCGGCTCAGGGCGCAGGATCCTGCAGGTTCTTGCCAAGTCCGATTGGCCCTGGTTTGCACGGACCCAGGCCACTACGGTCCCGCTTATGATTAAGAAACCTCCCCCCGAAAAGTTGGCCCAGCGTTTGTTTCTTAACCAACTTGCCGGAAAGTTGGCTCAATTTCTTGAGGTGATCGGTAGCCTTAGATCCTAGAAGTGAATAGCGTACGCTCCTGGTCCAAAAAGTTGGCCCACCTTTCCTAGTATTGATAACATTCTGAATCATATTTTTGACTATAAATCCCCGGACGCGTATGGGCAGAACGGGTGCGAGGACAGGCAACAGCCCCTGGTCCTTTTGGGAGCAGGCCTGCCGCTGCCGGCGTCGCCGCGGGCGTGATCCCTTCAAGACAGGAGGCCGGCGTGCCCAGCAGCGGCCGCTGTCGGCTGTGGACAGCCTCTGCTGTTTGTCACCGCACAGTGGAGACCCATGCCAAGAAACACCCTGCTTGCCTCCAGGGTGCCCTGGGTTTCTTGGGCTTCGATTGTTTTGCTATGGAAATCGTAACGTTCCCACACCAGAAATCGATGGACGTCCTGGGGTCTCGGGGTTGGATTTCTGGTGGAAGGTTTCTTGTGGTCGGGCCTCTACTGTGCCCATTTTATCCGTGCCCACTTCGGGCGCTGGAGGCGTCCGATTCGCCATGTCCACCTCCGCCTACGCAGCCCGCGACCTCCAGCCTCTCCAGCATCCGACGCCCCCCCTGCATCTCCATCTGTCGACCTCCGCCCTCCACGAACTCAGCACTCCGACCTCCAACCTCCAGCGTCCGACTCTCCACTTCCACGCCCGCCCGTACACCTCCAATTCTGCGCCGGCTCAGCACTCCGACGCCCAGTGTCCAGCATTCGACGTTCCACAGCACCCGCACCAGGAGGAGGGGGAGGAGGAGGAGGAGGAGGAGGAGGAGGAGGAGGAGGAGGAGGAGGAGGAGGAGGAGGAGGAGGATGGAGGAGAGGAGGAGGAGGAGGAGGCGGAAGGAGGAGAAGAGGAGGAGGGAGATGGAGCAGGATCAGGAAACAGAAGGAGGAGGAGGAGGAGGAGGGAGGCAGGAGGAGGAGGAGGAGGAGAGGAGGGAGGAGGAGGAGGAGGAGGTGGAGGAGAAAGGAGGAGGTAGGGCTCCCGCCCCCCGCGCCGCCCCCTCCCAGGGCCGGCCCCGCGGGACCGCCCCCGCGCGCCCCCCAGACCCCCGACGTCATGATTTGTTTTCCTAACGTCGACCCTCCGAGGTCTCGGCCCATTCCCCTGGACCGGTTTCTCCTCCTGTGTTGTTTTTTGCTTTTACGGTCCCGAGGGCAGGGGCAGTGAGGGCCTCCGAGGACGACCGAATCTATTTTTATTTAAAAATAAATATATATATAATATATATATATATATATAATACAAGAGGCACGTGTGTGCCCAGGCTCATACAACAAGCTGAAGGGGCGTTTGAAGCAGGAGTGACATGCAACAGCGAAGTCGCACTCGAGCGCAAGTGGGGTTGCCACACCTTGCGATGTGTGTACCAGGGCTCCCCAGGAAGCCTCAGGAGGCCCGACTTGGATACCAGAAGAGGCTCCAGGAGGCCCCAGGATTGTGAGTGTGTGTGTGTGTGTGATGTGTGCTTTGTGTGGTGCGTGCTTTTTGTGTGTTGTCGGTGTTGTGTGTGTATGTTATGTTTGTCTAGCGTGTGATGTGTTGGGCGTGATTTGTGTCTCTGTGTGTGCATGTAGTTCTGAAGCCCCAGGAGGCCCCAGGCGGCCTCAGCAGGCCCAGGCGAACTCCCGGAGGCTCCGAGGCGGAGTCTGGGGTACCAGAAGGTCCAGAAAGCCCCAGGAGGCCCCAGGAGGTTCCAGGAGGCCCCCAGGAGGCTCCGAGGAGGGGTCTGGGGCTCGATTTTGGGAGGATGTTTCATGCGAATCCGCCATTCTCTGAGAATCGGGGTCAAAATTATTGAAATTACCATGTGTTTTTGAAGGTTTTATGTTAAAATGTTGAAGTTCCCATGTGTTTTTGGACCCTGACGTCACGATCTGCGTGAGGGGTGCCACCGATTTTCAGAATTTCGAGGATGTCCCGAGCGAAACGGCCAGACAAATCGCGGACGACGTGCGCATTAATCGCCTCTGAGCTCTACTCCCTCGGAGAGGTGCGTATGAGAATAAATACATATATATATATATATACACATAGAAAACTTCACTGCATGATGTTTATTCGCTGTCCGAGGAGCTCTGGGCCCCCCGCTTGGTCAGCCCGCGCCGCCCCCGCACAGGGCGAGGCGAAGCCGGAGGGCAGGCAGGAGAAGGAGGCGCGCGGGCGGGCGCGCGGGCGGCGCGGGCCGCCGCTCCGTACGCATTGCCGCGCTGCGCCGCCGCCCCCCCCCCCACCCCCCCGAGGTCCCCCTCCTCCCCTCCCCCCCTCCCTACTCCCGTCCTCTCCCTCCCTCCCTCCCTCCTCCTCCTCCTCCCTCTCCTCCTCCTCTCCCTCCTCCTCCTCCTCCTCCTGCTCCTCCTCCCCCTCCTCCTCCATCCTCCGCGGGGATGGGCCGTCCCCGCGCTCCTCGGGAGGCCCCCGAGGTGGCTAAAGTGGGCCCCGAGGCACCGAAAGATCGCCCCAAGACGCCCAAGATGGCCCCAAGACGGCAGAAGAGGCTTCCAAGACACCCCAAGGGGCCTCCACGAGCATTGCAAAAGAGAGCTCCAAGATTCCAGAGTCGTTGATGTTTTCTTGGTGTTCGAAGGCTGTTGGCGTTCTCGCAATTTCGGCTCCCAGAAGCTCCACGACGGCCCAAGAGACCCCAGCGATCGCCTCGAGATGGTGGAAGAGGCCTATTCGAGGGCCTCAAAACGGCCCAAGAGGGCCCCGAGTTGGGGCGGGCGCTTATTACGAGGTCCCCAGGCTTATAGCAGAATCTGAAAAGGATTATACATATACATATACGTATGCATCGACCTAAACCTAGGGAGGTACACGTACACATGCATACGCCGATGCATATATATATATATACGCATAGACACGTATAAACATATCATATATATATCAACATATACAGATGCATGTATGTATGCACATGCACACATACATACATCCATCGATACATGCATACCGACAGGCATACATACATACATGCATGAATCCAGGCATACACATGTACATACACACCTATATGTACACACACCGGTAAACATACATACATACATACATGCATGCATGCATGCATGCATGTATGCATGCACACACGCATACATATATACATACATGCATACATACACACATGCATACACATATATATATATATACACACACACATACATACATACATACATACATACATACATGCATATATACATACATGCATACAGACATACATACATGCACACATACATACACACATACACACATACACACATACATACATACATACATACACACACCTACACACATACATACATACATACATACATACATACATACATACATACATACATACATACGTTCGTACGTACATACATACACACATACATACATACATACACATACATACATACATACACACACATACATACATACATGCACACATACATACATACATACAGACAGACAGACATACATACATGCATACATACATACATAAATACACACATACACATATACACATACATACATACATACATACATACATACATACATACATACATTCATGCAGGCAAGAAGGTATGCATGCATACATACATACATGTTTGCATGCATACGCTCATGCATGCATAGATACCTACATACATGCAGGTAAACATACATGTATATACACCTATGTACATATATATATATGTATACAAGTATACCCGAGAAGAGCCAAATCAGTGGATGATTTGAAATTTAATGATTTGGATATTGAGATCGATTGTGAGATCGATAGTGGGATCGGTAGTGAGGACGACGGTAAGGTCGATCGTGAGACCGATAGTGAAGTCGATTCACTGCGATCGATAGTGATATCGATTGTGAGATCGCTCGTGCGCTCCATGGCGAGATCGATTGTGAGATCAACAGTGATATCGATTGTGAGATCGATAATGAGGTCGATAGAGAGGTGGGTAATGAGATCGATGGTAGGACCGATCGATGAGGGGATCGACCAGAGAGCTGGGAACCCAGAAACCCGGGAACCCCGCCGCCCACCGAAATCGTCCCAGAACCAGCTTCGAGGAACCCGGGAACCGGGAACCCGGGAGCGGAACCCGGCCGCCTACCGAAATCGGCCCGGCACGTGCGCCAAATCTGTCAATCTTCATTAGGACCCCCCCCTTTCAGTGCAAGCACTGATAGGGAAGGACATCGGAGGTTGGGGGCGTGAGATCGCAGTGGAACGGAGAGCCCCAACTGGGAAATCATTTCGTTTCGCTCGTGTCGCGCGTGCGGACGAGGCGAAGCTGCGTGGGCGCGCGAGAGGAATAAACCCGCCGTTGTTAGGGCGAAGTCAGGACAAATGTTTCTCCTCCTCCGTCCGTCTGGCGGTGGCTTGAGCGGTGTCCCGCGGTGTCCCGTGGTGTCTTGTGGTGTCCGCCGTTGCTAGGGTGAAGTCAAGACGAATGATTCTCCTCCGTCCGTCCGGCGGTGGCTTTAGCGGTGTCCCGCGGTGTCCCGTGGTGTCTTGTGGTGTCCGCCGCTGCTAGGGCGAAGTCAAGACAAATGATTCTCCTCCGTCCGTCCGGCGCTGGCTTGAGCGGTGTCCCGCGGTGTCCCGTGGTGTCCGCAGTTGCTAGGGTGAAGTCAAATCGATGGTGAGGTCGATAGTGAGATCGATATTGAGATCGACACTGAGATCGATACTGAGATCGATCGTGAGATCGACAGGTGTTCCGTGGTGTCCTGTGGAGTCCCGTTTAGTTCGATCGATATTGAGATCGATATTAAGATCGATATTGAGATCGATGAGGTGCCCCAAGGTGTCCCGTGGTGTCCCAAAAATTGAGATCTATAGTGAGATCGATAGTGAGATCGACAGGTGTCCCGTAGTGTCCCGTCGAGTGAGATCGATAGTGAGATCGACGGGTGTCCCGTGGTGTCCCGTGGTGTCCCGTTGAGTGAGATCGATAGTGAGTTCGATAGTGAGATCGATAGTGAGATCGCTGTTGTGTTCCGATGTGTTCCGTGGTGTCCTCTGGTGTCCCGTTGAGTGAGATCGATAGTGAGATCGATACTGAGACCGATAGTGAGATCGAGAGGTGTCCCGAGGTGTCCCGTGGTGGCCCGTGGTGGCCCGTGGTGGCCCGTGGTGTCCCGTGGTGTCCTTGTGAGTGAGATCGATGGTGAGATCGATAGTGAGATCGACAAGTGTCCCGTGGTGTCTCGTGGTGCCCGTTGAGTGAGATCGATAGTGAGATCGATTGAGTCAGATGTTGGTTTCCCCCCT